AGAAAGTAAATCCTGGCTTTTGGCCTCGAGAATAATGGGACCAGGTTTTACAGCAAACAGTAATTCTCCATTGTGCTTTAGAAGCCATTGTTTTTTTTAATGTTACAATGAGGAGTTGTTTAAAAGCTGTTTATTAAGCCCATAAATAAGATGTCATTTGGTAATTAAGTGCAGTTATGTTGCAAATGCGTTCACTATTCCACTCAGTAGAAAACACCAATGCAATTAGGAGAAACAGCTGAAAGGTTGGACACCTGAGCTCAGAATCACATACTCTCAGGACTCACGTTGTGCTACCAGGAGACATCTGGGTGAGGGTTTTCTTTTTGTATTATGGCTTTGATATATGAATCAGCCAGGACTTTTGTTTCTAAAGATACTTGTATACCTTACAAATCATTGATACTGCCATTGAATCTGCTGATCAGAGAACCAAGAGGAATCGTGTGTGTGTGTGTGTGTGTGTGTGTGTGTGTGTGTGTGTGTGTGTGTGTGTAAGCACATGAGTATACTGATATGATATACAGTTGTATTAATGAAAAGAGTTAATGAAACCCTAAATATCAGCTTGAGGCTGTAGATGATGTATAGATATGATGGGTTTGGGTAAATTTAGGTTATTTTAGGGCATTCAACACATTACCCTTGACATGACTATTTGGACAGGGAGGGTCCTTTTTGTCCACCTTAGAAAGGGGACACACTGCTATGGGATTCTCCAGCATCTCAACCTGAAGCAATATGTTTAAACATGGAGCTATGAATAGCACTTGCAAGGTCCTGTATATAGGCGTGACTGGTCAGGGCTGAGGAGAGGGTCATGTATGGCAGTGGCAGCCCCTAGGAACACTCTTTCGAGAAATGCTGTGAAGAGCAGCCCTGGCCTTATTGCTCTCAGCAGTTTCCATCTAAATATATGTATTCTTGGCTCTCCCTTTTTTTCTAAGTTACCACTTCCTTTCTCCTGCATTTTACTACCTTTTATTTGCATTCCAGTTCAGACACCTCACTTGACACAGCTACATTAATCCCCATAGGAGGTCTCAGACAAGCTCAGTAGTACATATGAAGGTAGTTTTAGAAGAAAGATGACCACAATGTTTTTATGTGCTTAGTGTGGTCCTGATATGGTCTAAAACATCTGTTTAATTTGTTTATCTGTTGTTCCTACTAACCCTGGAGGTAGGTATATGGATTACCTGCATTTTACCTGTGGAATGGGGACATTTCTAACTAGGCATAGGCACAGTACTTCCAGGTTTCCTCCCTATTTGGTTTTATTTTGTGTGCATGCATGTGTGTGTGTGTGTGTGTGTGTGTGTGTGTGTGTGTGTGTGTGTGTGTGTGTGTGTAGGCCAGGGGCCAACACTGGGTGTCTATCTACTGCCCTCCACCTTAGAATTTGAAACAGGGTCACTCAACCTGGTGGTCACTGCCTTGACTGACTGGACAGTGAGCTCAGAGGATTTGCCTGCCTCTGCAGTGGGTTACAGGCAAGTACAGCCACACCTAGCTTTTTACGTGGGTTCAGGGGATCTGAACTCAGGTCTTCTTGTTATGCAGCAAGCACTTTATGCACCCTTCTCCCCAGGTCCTAGGGAAACATTTTCAATGAAGACAGGCTCCTCCGGGGTGTGTGGGGACTTGTCTTCACGCCAGTACAATGAGAAGAACACAAGGTTCACATAGCGGCTTCCGTCTGTGCTCTTTGGTCTGCACTGTGTTTTGCTCCCGCGTCTCCAGAGGGAGGGGCTGATAGGTGTTATGAGACAGTTCATCTGAGCATGTGCTCCTTGGGAAACTGAGGAAGGATGATAACATTAGCAGCAGGCGAGAGTGGCAGAGAAAGGGTTGGTGTGGTGACAGTTGCCGACCAAGGCTACCTCACACTCTTCAACTCCAGGCGAAACTTCTGAGGAGGGTTGGTATGGTGATGAGTTCGTGGAAGATCTCCCTGACTTTAGCCTTTAGTTCCTCAGCTTGTGACAGGTCAGCTCTGTGCCCTAGAGGAGCTCAGGCAGATGTCCCAGTGAAGCCCGTGGCACACGTCCGGTGCACAGAAATGTTAGTGATGTTTGTAAAACTGTCAATAGACTTGTGGAACGGGTGGATCCATGCTCTCCTAAGTCCTGCTGTAAAAGACTCGTTTACGTTCTGTTTCCAATGCGCAGAGACAAGCGTGTGCTGTTGAATGACACCTCTAATTGCTGTTTTCTCCTAATAACAAAATGCTGCTATGAATAGCTGGAGATTAAGCAACTAAGATTCGTACACCCTATGCTTGCTACCTCATCTTCACAAAAAACAATAATACACGGCTCCTAAGACTTTATTATCTGTTACATAGACTCATAAAAACCTGGAGCGTGTGTCCTCACTATGCTCTCCAGAGCCGCTGTCATCCGCAGCCCATCCCTCTCTCATTTGTTGTTATTGTGAGGCTTATGAAAGGTGATGGGGGACTCCACGCCTACATGAGGAAGTTCAGCTCCGTACAGCGAAAATGAGACTGCGCTGCAGACATGTTGCGTAATCAAATTTAATTATTCCAGCTAAACTTTTATCTCTCGCACTGTTCTTTGATGTGGCCCCATTCCTAAGCAGAGCTACTGGGCTGACGATCGGGCTGAAATAAGACATGTGAGTGGAGCAGTAATGGGCTTGCTTTTGGTGTGAAAAGAGATTGGCGCTGTATCAAATTACACGATAGTGGAAAAATAAAGCAAAAGATAAAAGGGCAACAACGTTGTGGCGTGGTTAAGTCCGGATTGCAGAGCATGGTCTTGCAACTTACCCACTTACTAGCTCGGTTTCCTTTGAAAGCTTCCTCTTCATTGTCAGTGTGATGTTCTTTCGTGGCTCCTACCTGAGACATCAGTGCTATGACTGGATCCTAGCTGGAAGAAGGAGGGTACTTAGAGGCACCCCACTCCAGCCATTGCAGTACCAAGGGGACACCTCAGGCCACCACCCAGGAAGCCCTCCTTGGAGCTCAATCACCCCTGAGTTGGCGACCACTTGCCATGCAAAGGGGAAGGCCCCCTTTGTCTCCCCAAGAGGCTGGGCCTGTCCCTAGCTCTGCAGCCGTCTGTTGGGATTCTTCCAAGAACAGTGGTGTGCACTCTCATGGTCGCCCTTCATGTCCCAGTGCCTGAGCCTTGCCACTCAGGCCCCTTCCTCGTCCTTCGTTTCTGTGTCTGAGCTGGTCTGGACAGTTGAACTCTGGAGCTGACACGGGGCATTCTGTGCCAGGCCTTAGAGCGGCTACTTGGCCACGTTCTGCTGGTCACTTCTGTTTCCTCACAGCCATGAGAGGAGCAGCTGGGATGGCCAGAGGGAGAACCACCTCTGCCTGCTGTCTCTGGGGTTCACGGGCATGTGGGTAGGGCTCTCCCTGGTCTCCCCGTGAACTCTAGGTGGAATGACCAAGCTAGGATTACTAGCCTCGTCAGTGTAGGAGAAGAGTCCGTGGAGAGACAGGGGGCAGGTAGGGGGGGGGGAGTGACAGTGGCCCAGTGGGGACTGACACTTGAGAGTCACAGATGCCTCCTGATGAAAGCCATTTCCCCTTCCTGTCTGAGCATCGGCTGGTGGGGACATCCAGCTACTCAAGAAGGGGCCTGAGTGTCGAGGCCCAGTTGACTTCAGCCACCATACCGAGTCGGCTCAGAGAGGTTCCAGCCTGGGGTCAGAATGCGGGAAGAACTCACGGTGATGTTCTAGGAGTAGTGGACAGCTCACAATTACCAAAGCAGATGCTTCTCAGGTTCCCGAGTTCAAGTACGAAAGAGACTGGGACAAAGGTCAGTGAGGAAGACGGGTGGGAAGGAAGCTTTCCGCAGTGTGCTGCCAGACGGTCTGGTAGGTGGAGGGTAGAGGTGCCCAGTGGTCCCCGGCTGTGTGGAGGGACCCGGTGGTCCCCGGCTGTGTGGGGGTGCCCGGTGGTCCCCCGGCTGTGTGGGGGTGCCCGGTGGTCCCCGGCTGTGTGGGGGTGCCCGGTGGTGCCCGGCTGTGTGGGGGTGCCCGGTGGTCCCCGGCTGTGTGGAGGTGCCTGGCTATGTGGAGGTGCCCAGTGGTCCCCGGCTGTGTCACTCACAGAACAGAATCTAGGGGAAGCACTGAGGCATGGTGATCTCCTAGTCAGGCCTCTCTGTCCAGGACCCTAAACTGTAGAGAGTTGGGGATGAGAAAGCTGCCTCCACAGCTTACCTTTCTGGTAACATGTGACATTAAACAATGATTTCATGATTAATTCATTAGTTCTGTACATTACTTCACCAGTCAGTGTTACTAATTAAATATCAGATGTTAGTTTTCAAATGTTTTAAGCTAAACCAAAATGCTCCACTATAGTTGATCTACAGCTATATTTTTCCGTGTGTGGTGTGTGTGTGTGTGTGTGTGTGTGTGTGTGTGTGTGTGTGTGTGTGTGTATTATATAGGTGTATGGATGCTTGTTCATGTGTGGGTATGAGTACACATGTATATAACGGTTATGTGCACATGTATGCACATGCATATAGTTGTTAAGTGACAACATCAGGTGTGGTTCCTCGGGTGTGTGGTTCCACCATTTTTTTTTAAAGTGTCCCTCAGTGGAACCGTGACTCTGCTTTCCCAAAGTTGGGATGACAAGCACATGCCCACATTGTGCCCTGCTTTGGTGTGGGTGTTAGAGTCTGAACAGGGGTTCTTGTGCAAGCAATTCACTCACTGAGCTGTCTTCTCCACCCCTGGTTTTTTAGATCTCATAATCTTCGCGTTGAGAACCTCAGTGCATCTACCAGATGTTAGGTACCTGTTGCTGCCGATGCTCACCTGGGGAAAACCAAGTGTCTGCTTCTTAGCATCCCCAAATCCCGAGGAGTCACCGTAATCTAAACTATGTGGCTGTTCACTCAGTTCAGGCGCTGGCTACTGGGAGAACGAGTCCTGTATCTCTGTCACACCCCAGTGCTTCACCAGGCAGGCACTAAATCCCATTTCTGTTTTGTTGACAGACCAACAGTACTCATGGTCTCCAACGCAGCACTTCAATGAGGAGAGGTACTCACCCGCACCCAGGAACATGAAAGGGTTAACTGGAAGCCGGAACCAGCCTCAGATATGTGCGGGCCATACCTGCGGCCTGTCACCCCCAGATGACTGCGAGCACCCCCACGATCACATGCACCATGGGCCGGATGTGCGGCAACCCTACCTTCTCAGCCCAGCTGAGAGCTGCCCGATGGACCACCACCGCTGCTCACCCAGGAGCTCCGTCCACTCGGAGTGTATGATGATGCCTGTAATGTTGGGCGACCACGTGTCCAGTAGCACCTTCCCCAGAATGCACTACAGTTCACACTATGACACCAGGGATGACTGTGCCATGTCCCACACAAACACGAAGGTAAATCGCATCCCCGCCAACCTTTTGGACCAGTTTGAGAAACAGCTACCCCTGCACCGGGATGGATTCCACACACTGCAGTACCAGAGGGCCTCGGCTGCCACCGAGCAGAGAAATGAGAGCCCAGGCAGAATCCGGCATCTGGTCCACTCTGTCCAGAAGCTCTTCACCAAGTCTCATTCTCTGGAGGGGTCGTCCAAGAGCAACATCAACGGGACCAAGAGCGACAGTCGGGTGGAGGACCACCACCACAGTCACCACTCTAAACACAGCAAAAGGAGCAAAAGCAAGGAGCGGAAGCCAGAGAGCAAGCACAAGTCCGGCGGGAGCAGCTGGTGGAGTTCTGACGACAACCTGGACAGTGACAGCACATACCGGACACCCAGTGTGGCCACCCGCCACCACATGGACCACATCTCTCACTGCTACCCCGAGGCGCTGCAGAGCCCCTTTGGGGACCTCTCGCTAAAGACTTCCAAAAGCAACAGTGACGTTAAGTGCTCAGCCTGTGAAGGCTTGGCCCTGACGCCAAACACCAGGTACATGAAGCGTAGCTCTTGGTCCACTCTCACGGTGAGCCAGGCCAAGGAGGCTTACCGCAAGAGCTCCCTGAACTTGGACAAGCCCCTGGTCCACCCAGAGATCAAGCCTTCGCTACGGCCATGCCACTACCTCCAGGTAAGGCCCGGGTGACTGTGTCCTTGTGCAGAAGGTTTTAGCCATTGCTGCCTTTTGTAGTTGACCAAAAGGGTCGTATCAACGTGTGGCATACAAAGTGAAGTTTGAAGGCATGTTTGCCTTTTAGGATTCCAAAGTAAGCCAGTGTGCTTGCTTTCCATCCCTCTGTGCTGTAGCTAGAACTCTCTGAGTTCACATGAACCCCAGAGACAGGAGGCAGAACTGGTTCTCCCTTCGAAAATGTTGTTGCTGAGACGTAATATTGTTGCATCCACATCTTATTTGGTTGGTACACATGCCGCAAGCATGGTGATCCTCAGTGTCGGTCACTTTTATGGGGACTAGACAGCTTTTCCCCCCCTCTAGCTGTTTGGAACTAGAAGTTATTGTAACTAATAATTACCCTGCTAAAAGTTTTGGTTGTTTTTAGAGACTAAATCTCACATTATAATATAAGTGGGCCTTTAACTCAGTATGTAAACCAAGCTGGCTTTGAACTCTCATCAATCCTCCTGCCTCAGCCTGGTTGGGATTATAAGTGTGTTCCACTATGTCTGGCTCAACCTGCCATAACTTTTAAAGTTTTTATTAGCATATATGAATTTTACATAATAATGGGTCTCATGACATTTTCCTACATGTACATAATACTTTGATCATGTTCACCCCCACCCCCAATACTCTTGTGGATTGTCTGGTAATTCCTGAGTATGTAATGCAAGGCTAACTGCAGTCTTCATGCTATACAATGGATCTCTTGGATGAACTCTTCTGGTGTAACTGGAATCAAGCATCCTCTAACCATACCCCCTACTCCCGCTCCAGCCCCCGATAACCACCCTTTATTCCCTGCGTCTATACACCCCAGATCTTGAGCTTCGGTATGAGGGAGCCTGGGCGGAGTGTGTCTTTCTGAGTCTAGTTTGTTTCACTGAGTGTCCTGTGCGCCATGCTTGTGCCTGTTGTAAATGGCAGGGACTCCTCTCTCCCTCGGGGCTGAACAGCATCCCATGCTGCGTGTGCATCCCTTCCCCAAGCCACTCGCTGATGCGCATCAGGTTGACTCCCTGCCTTGGCTTCTGTGAACAGAGCCACAATGTGATTGACAACCGATGGCCGTGGGTGACTTTGGGAGGTCCCTGGAAACATCGCTCCAATGTGACAACCCATCCCTTGGTGCCAGGGACTTAGCGTAACAACACAAATGTCCTGAACACATAGATGCTTGAGCCCACAGGTCTGCCATTTGCACGCGATCACTCCTGTCGTGTGACAACAGCATTCCCAAGCTGTGTGGCATGTGGTGATGACAGGAAGTTTTGTCTGTGGTGAGGGTAACTGTCCTCAACGGTGTGGGTGAGATGGCGTCACTGAAGACAAAAACGTATTACACACAGTGCTGGCGGGATCCAGAGCACTGTGCAGTTCTGCATTTTATGTAATTGCCCTCCCTATCTTCTGACAGTTCTCTCACCAAGAACAGGAGAGGCCTTAGCCTCCGAAGACACAGCCGCGCCTGAGGGAGCCTCTGCAGCTCCTACCAGCCGGTGGCATTAACACAACCTCAGCACTTCAGGTTTCCTCAGAGATATATAGTATATATCCAATTCACAAATCTCATATCCCTACCCTCTAAGAACCAAGGCTTGGCCTGGCCATGTGCTGGCTTAGAGACACCCTCCTAGACCCTGAGTAATGGCGCTAATCATCGGCTGCGTCATCAAGTGGCCAATTAACGAAACAGATGAACAACTGCGAATCTTTCTGGGAGTCAGGTGGCAGAGGCTTCCAGCAGCGCCAGCCCCTCCTGGTATATTGTCCAAGGCTCACTGGTTCTGTTTTGAAAGGAGATGCTAACCAAATTGCTTGTATAGACAGATTTATTCAAAGAGACAAATTGGTAGTTAGATAAAGTATTATTTTTATAGCAGTAGAAAAGGCTTAAATTTTGCTTGTAGTTGGCAAACCTTAATGACATCCAAATGTAAAATGTTCTCTCTGCTTATCTGAGGGAACACAGTGAGTAAAATTGGGGCTCAGTCTGGTTCTTTCACTCTTGTACAAGCGAAAATCTGGTCTTTTTTTTTCCTCTTCTTTGCGCCTAGGAACTCTCCTGCAGTGTTCCCTGAGCACAAGGCAGGGTTGTAACTGTGGCATTTCTCCCCACTCCAGTCCTGAGCTCTCTGCTCCGCACACCACCCTCACCTGCTCATCACCCTCCAGCCCTGGGTTTACTGTCCCTGCTACTGCGCATGTTCTTTCCCGCCCTCCAGTCACCCGGTTCAGTGCTGCGCATGCTCTCCGTGCCCTCCAGTCACCCAGTTCAGTACTGCGCGTGCTCTCTCCACCCTCCAGACACCCTATCCAGTGCTTCTGCTTGTGGAATGTCAGTCGTATCCAAAGATGGAGTGTGACATCATCTTCTACTTTCCACCGCCCCCTCCTTAAACTCTGGTGGTTTTGCTTTCTCTATACCATACCCCTTCCCTACCGGTTGAGATGGAAAGGGGCTCCACAGACGACATCATTGCAGCTGTAACGATCTCATCCAGTCTTGTCTCTGAAAAGTCCAGGCTACAGGGCTGGGAAGACTGCTCAGTGGGCAAGGTACTTCCCGCAGATATCTGAGGACCAGAGTTCGGATCCCCAGCACCCATGAGCATGATGGACTGCTAATAATCCCAGCACTCAGAAGACAGAGCTCAGGGATCCCCAAAGTCGGCAGGCTAGGCAGACTAGTCAAAAGAGCAATTTCTGGGTTCCGATATTTAATGTGGAGAGTAATTGAAGGAGACACCTGACATCGAATTCTGGCCTCCCCATGCATGTGCACACACGTGCAAGTACGCACACATGAAAGCACTCACCATCATGTATGTACATATAAAAAGAAGATGCACACTGGAAGATACAGGCTCCCGCTTAGGTAGACCATCTCTACTGTGTGGCCAGGCACTGAAATGCAAGAACCTTGCCGCGCTGTCGGACACATGTCAGTCATTCCTCAGGCCTCACCAAGGGCTCACTTCTCTCCTGAGTTGGGAGCCACACAACGGACCTCTGTCCTGGGCCAGATCTGTTGTCTGCATCTTGTGATCTGCATAGAGCCCTCTGCCTCTCTCTTCTCTCCTTCACTCTGGGACTTCTTTTTGAAACCTTGGGTTTGGAACCCGTCTTTGTTCCGCCAGCCCCTGCGGCCTGGGTGTCATCCCAGATGCCTCTCTGGCCTCCAGCTTCCACAGACCTGGAGCTAGCCACCAGTTTGTGGACTTCCCTGTCTCAATAGCTTCTCAGCTGTGCTTGGGTGTTGAGCACTCGTATTGTAATCAGTCATTTCTCAGCCTGCCTCTCCAAGCCCCGAGGGTAAAAGCCATGTTGGCCCCTCTCCCTCCCCCTCCCCCTCCCCCCTGGATCTGCCTACTTCTTTGCCTATAGCTAGACACCAACTGGGAGAGTTGGCCAAACAGTCAGTGACAGGTCCAGCTGTTACCTTACCAAAACGTATTTTGGAAATGTCAGCAGTTCGTGTCCCTTCACAGTAGCATGCAAAGCACAACTAGGTTGGCATAGTGCTGTGAAGGGATGAGACTCAATAGAAAGCAGCATTGAAAGTGAAGTTCCCCTGGTGCTCCATAAAACTTTAGCAGGGTACAGCTGAAAAGGAGAGGACAGCAGTTGTAGAATCCTACCTACAAGCCCCAACAGTCTCAAATCCTCTCTTCAACCTCCCTCAGTCCCTTGGTGGCGCGTGGTGGCCATGGCTGGGCCTTGGTAAGCATGGCACCTGCAGGGGACACAGACCTATCTCCTCCCACTGTTCATATGGACAACCATGGTCTAAATAGTCAACCTGTGGGGTGAGAGGTTTAAGGACCCTTGAAGGAAATTATGGCTTTCACAGGGCCCTCTTCCCCCAGCCCCAAATACCTCATCTACGAAGAAACTTCCCTCACATACCATCCTCCATCCGTTTTCACCTCTCCACGAAGTCCTTCTCCCCTTCCTTGCTGTCCTCTGTCTGTCATGCCATGTCACTTGTGGAAAGATTTATGAAATACACACAGCTCCTCCGGCAGCGTTTGTCCCCAGACCCAGCTAAATTGATGTCTGGGTGCATTCAAAGGTGTCCTCACAGGGCTGTCCCTCACGCTGGAGGCACTGAACTTTCCAGTGGAAAGGCCTCACAAGCCCAGACTTCATTTCACAACCAGCATTGGGAATTAAAGAAAAATTAAAGGAATGTGCCCATGGTGCTTTGTAAGGACATGGTCTAAAAGGACCAGAAGTCCGTGCCCAGGGGCAGCATTCTTTTTTTTTTTCACCCCAAACTAGAGATTTGCAGTTGAATAAAAGGACACCTCTCTATACCCACCTTTGGCTTGTATGGAATATGTACTTAACATTCAAGGAAGACTCTGGTTTGTAAGTAGGTCAAAACACAGCAAATAGAACTGACGGGGAATTCTGGCCCGTGTTCTTCTCTGAAAAGGCTTTTGTTCTTGTATTTTCTGCCTCAGCAGACAAACTGTCTTAAGGCCAAACTTGGAATAATGTGGCAGGCACGTGGGCCAGTGATTCACTACATCCTGTTTAGGGGCCAAGCGGTTCCCTGTGTCCTGAGGAGGAGACACTGGCCTTGGAGAGGACCTGGTACCAGTCAAGGAGGTCGCAATTGCTCTGCCCTGTGGGAAATACTTTCTTCCCTTGACCCTTATGAGCACAACACCCCTGTCTCTCCCATGCCCGCCATCACCTCCCTCTTTGGCCCCCATGTTCTCTCTGGCTTGGCTGTCTCCTCACCTGTAATCTGTAACCATGTGACTCTGGTTTTTTTGGCCCCTCCAAGTGAAGAAAAGCCCTAGTGTTTCTGTTTCACTTATGTTTGTAGCCGGGGATGTTTGGGTTTTTGTTTGTTTTGTTTTGTTTTAACAAATGAGACTCCTAAGTTTTGAAAGCTCGAGAGACGATGGATGGGACAAGGCTAGGGGGCCCGTTCCCTT